ACGTGCATAGAGAATATCCCTGCAAAGTTTCAGCCTTCTACGTTGCCTGGCTCGCGAAACGGTTTTCCGCCAACAAATTCCTTTGGGGGTCTCGTGAGCGGGGTTTAAGCGCGTAGGGGGGAAAATCTTAAAATGGGAGGATGACACACGGGGTAGGAACGTATATCCGAAGTTTAAGCCCCCCAGCTTTCCTAATTACCGAGTTGAAAGTGGGTGACAAAGTGCACTCGCTTTGCGCGCGCACACACACACACGCACACACACAGACAGCCTCTCGACAATATGCGTTTTTGCTGGCTGTACAGCAAAAACGCATAAAAATTATTTTCTCAAAAAAACGGGCATTTGCCGAAATCATTGGCGTCGCGCACCGGGCGGGCCCGTGTGACCATGCGCTTTTACAATATTTCGTGCTGTAATGAAATCGTTCAAAAACCTCATAGCTAGGATTTGCGACATATTAGTTCTCGAAGTTCGGGAAGTTAATTGTCTGCGCGGTACTTGGACAGGGAACATTCCGTTAAAATTTCAGCTTTCTAACTTCTCCCGATCTAGAGTTAGCAATTTTTCCGCCAAAAAAATTTCATGGGTTCATACGTGAGAAATTTCATGGGTTCATACGTGTCTAGGAGCTGAATTTGATATCTTTAGCTATTGCTGAGGCTGGGTACACGCCCTGTAAATTTCAGCCCCTTAGCTTCCCTGTCTCTCTAGTTTGCCGTTTTCCCGCCGAAAAATTTCACGGGGCCGTAAGCGATAAGCAAGTGCGTCTGGGGACTGAATTCGATGATATTAAGTAGAGCTGCTGCTGCTGCTCCTGCTCCTGCTCCTGCTGCTCATCCAGCGTGGTGGGCCGTTCGGGAACAGAAGCTCCTCGCCCTTCGTTATTTCCCAGAGTTACTCATCACGGCAACGATCACGGAACAGCGCGTTATGCGCCAAAATGCTGTTCAATTCTGCATTGGCTGCATGTAGGGAACATTCCCTGAAAATTTCAGCCTAATAGTTTTCCTGGCTCCCGAGTTAGGCACTTTCTCGCCGAAAACTACGTATGCCTGGGTCTGAGCTCGATGACTTTAAATTGTATATGAACTGGGAATAATACCTGAAAATTTCAGCCTCCCAAATTCCCTAGTTCCCAAGTTAGCGGTTTTCGCGCCTGGAACCCTCACGAGGCCATACTCGGGTACCAAGCACATTCGGCGGCTGAATTTGAAACCTTTGAGTTGCACATGGACGGGAATCATAGGGTTATAGCTTATCTGGTTCCTGAGTTAGCGATTTTTGCGCCAAAATTTTAGCTCTTTTGTATGCGAGGCACAGAATTGCGTGAAAGTTGGTACCGCGGTTCTGGAGTGGCACTTGGCTGGGGAACCCAGTTGCAAAATTTTTATGCCGAGGCTTGTTTGGGCGCCGAGTTGAAACACTCGGACTGACACACACACGCCGGGGTCGTCCAATATGCGTTTTCACAC